GGCCGAGAAGCACCAGGAGACGCTGGGCCAACCTCGCGTGGCCAGGTGTTGGTTTCGATTGGAATCGGCGCGCCGTCGCTGCGATGGCCCCCTCCGATTCTGGTCGCAGCCGACGCCTCGTCACGCTGGGATTGCCCAAGGATGCCTTCTTGTCGATGGCGAACTTCCTCTCCGACTCAGGTTTCTTCTCGCTCCGTGTTGCTTGCCATCCGTGGGCCGCCACGTCGCTCAACGAGGCGATGATGATGGCGCTGACTCAGGCGCAAGAGAACGGCGGCAGCTTTGCGAACGCGGAGGCTGCCTTCGCAGTTGCAGTGGGGGTGTCGGCGGAGCGTTGTCTCAACATCTACCCAGCGTCGTTCGACGATGCCGCGCTGGCTTTCACGACGCTGAAGGGGGCCAGTTGGCCAATATGATCAGGGCTCGCGGAATCGGCGCCCCCTCTTCCCCCCCCCCCCCCCTCGGAACACCCAGGCCGGCCAGATTGGGGGGGGGGGGGGGGGCAACGTTGGAACCCTGATCATATGAGGCGAAGTTTGAGAACGTCTTGCCCCCCGACGTCGTCAATAAGTTCCCGGGGGCGGTTGGGGCGCCAAGTGTGAAGATGCTCTTCGTTGGGCGCGTCCAGCTTCCGCCGCGTCTTCTCTTTCATCGGCAAACAGAAGTGCCTGGTTCGCGATGGCGGTGCCACGGAGATGAAGGTGCACGCCCCCAAGTTGGTGTCAGACTTCGTTGACGCGATGTCCGCAGAGGCAGCGACCTACGCGGACGGCGACGGAACTACTGACGAGCAGCAGCGGGAGCTCATGACTATCTTCGCGGCGTCCAATCTTGGCTTCGAGTCGTTCATTTCCGAAGCGCTTCGCTTGGCCTTCCAGGCGAAGAGGTTTTGCGCGGATAACGACAGCTTCGGCTACGCCAAGCGGAAGGATGACCTGCTGCGCAGGATGAGCCTCGTGAAAGTTAAGGAGGTTCGCTCCCTGATGTCAGGCGCCCTCGGCGCCGATGTCACGGCCGACGGTGCGATCGACATCGACCCCGTCTTGAAGGCCAAGGTAGTCGCAGAGTTCGTTGAGAAGCTCGACGCCGCCAACGCCAAGTGCGTCAAGGCGGCGTAGGTCCTGAAGAACCCCTTGGACTACGTCAAGGACGAGCTGAAGACGAAGTACATGCCTTGTGAGACAGCCGATGCAAATACGACCCAGGCCATCGTCCCGATCGCCCCGAACGTTGGTGCCGTGGGCAAGACTGGAGACACCGACACCATCTGCGCGCCCTTGGCGCAGTGGTGGGCGTCCCAAGTGGAGGCGGAAGAGCAGGACGACGACTGGTTGCAGCCCTCCTACATGCACAAGATCCTGATCGCAGAAATGAACCAGTTTTTTTTTGCTAACGAGGTGATTGGCGGCTATAGCAACGAGGGCACCTTGGGGGGGTTGGCAGTGAAAAGGACGGCGGGTAAGTCTACGAAGACACCTCTGGGTGAGAAGAAAGCTGCTGCGCCCACGTGGCAGCCGACGCGCACGGTACCTGGGGAGGACTGCCAGCTTTCATGTTTGGGGCGGGTGGTCACTGAGCAAGTGGCGGCCACCCTTCCCAAATCGATGGTCCTCCCACTCGACCCTTGCGGCGACAGCGACGGCGTGGTCCCGCGGCTCTTCCTGGACGGCACTGGCGTTAGCAACACCAAGCGTTCAGATTGCTGCGTCGCGCGGCTCGTCAAGCCTGCGCCGATCCCCAAAGAGACCGAGGAGCCGACGGCAGAGCAGCTCGAGCACATGACACCCGTGAAGCGCCGCAAGCTCGAGATCACGTTGGAGGACAAGCGGGCAAACGTGCCGATCCCCACGCACGAGGTGGAGTTCCACAAGATGACCATTCATGTTGAGAACGCCAAGGGACAGCACTACGCGGTCCACTACATGCGCCCCGTGCTCGTGAACGGCAAGACGGTGACCAACGGGACCAACGCGAAGGATATCGTGCACACGGGGTGCACGAGGGAGTGGTTCGGCTGGGACAGCGAGGAGCTTCGCAAGGAGAAAGTCGCGAAGTCCGTTGGCGGTTTCGTTACGAAGTGAAATTGAAGGGAAGGAGGAGGGGGAGGAGGACGAGGTGGAGTTCGTTATGCAAACGCGTTTGAAGAAACAGATAACGAACGATGAGGACTGGGAATCGGATGGGAGGGAGGAGGAGGAGGAGGAGGAGGAGGAGGAGGGGAAGAGGAGGAGGAGGAGGAGGAGGAGGAGGAGGAGGGAGGAGGAGGGGAGGAGGAGGAGGGAGAGGGAGGAGGGGGAGGAGGAGGAGAGGAGGAGGAAGACGACGAGGAGGAGGAGGAGGAGGAGGACGGAGGGAGGAGGAGGAGGATGGAGGGCGAGGGAGGAGGGAGGAGGGAGGAAAGAGAAGGGAGGAGGGGGGAGGGAGGAGGAGGAAAAAGGAGGATGAGGAAGAGCAGCGTGCACGGGTGCCGAGATTCGGCGATGCGGCGGCCTCGCCGAGCTCGGGCAGGTGAACAATAAACGCTGTATCGTGAGCGTCCTCCTTTTCCTCACCCACTTGCTCCTATTACTCGTCCTCCTCCTCTTCCTCCTCCTCCTCCTCCTCCGCCTCCTCGTGCCCCTCCCCCAGTATCCCGCGGAGAGCAGCGGCTAGGGGAGGAGAGTTGGGAGGGCGAGGAAGAGGAGGAGAAAGAGGAGGAGAACGAGGAGGATGAGGAGGGACAGGAGGAGGAGGAGGAGGAGGAAGAGGAGGAGGAGGAGGATCAGGAGGAGGAGGAGGTGCACGGATCCTCCTCGTCAAGTGCCGTTTTGGCTCGCTAGTCATTCGAGGTACATGCGTTGATTCGCATGTGCTGCACGTTGCGTGCGTCTGCTTGTACGGCGGGCGCGCGAGCCAGTGTTGTTGTGCCTCCGACGGAGGCGTGATCAATGTGTTTTGTTGTTGGAGGCCGTGTTTCTGAATGTCGGGCTGGACGGCGTCTTTGTTTGATTCACACGTGTTGGGGGCTTACAGTGGAATGTGGAATTGCCCCTGTGGCAAACAGCTTTTCTGAACACTCCCACACGGTGGAGCTTACTCACTGGGCTACGAGAGCCAAGCATAACCAGGAGAGTTACAAACTGCATGACGAGGACCACAGGCTGAGCTACGAGAGCCACCGGCACAGCTACGGGATCCACCAGAAATACTACAGTTCCCACTTGCCGTGCTGCCAGAGCCATCTGCCGAGCCACGAGAGCCGTGAGCTGAGCGGCGAGGACCGAGAGCTGAGCTACGAAAGCCAAGAGCAGGACTACACTAACTACCAGCTGAACCACGAGGACCGCCTGCTGCGCTACGAGGGCCATCATCTGAGCCATGAGGACCACCTGCTGAGCTACCAGAGGCACCAGTTGCGCTACGAGGGCCGCAGGCGCAGCTACGATAGCTACGAGGGCCACCCGCTGAGCTTCCATGGCCACAGCATGAGATGCGCGGCCTGACCCCCTGCAGACCGACTAAGGGGATGGGCTAAACCGCAAGGACCAGAAACGGAATTCCGAGACCCACCAGCTGAACCACGAGGGCCACAGGCAGAGCTACGGGGTCCACTACCTTGGCTACGCGGCCCACAAGCAGAAGTACGCAAGCCTCACGGAGAGCCACCAGGGCGATGAGCTGAACTGCAAAGGCCGCCTGCTGAGCAAGGACAGCCACCAGCTGAGATACGAAGACCACGTGCTGAGCAACTGGGACCACGCGCTGAGCTACCAGGGTCACAGGCAGGGCTTCGAACACCACAGGCAGGGCACCGAGGACCGCCAGCTGAACTACGAGAGCTACGAGGACCACCTGCTGAGCTACCAGGGCCACAGCCAGAGCTACACGGACTACAGGAAGAATTGCAAGAGGCGCTTGCGTAATTACTAGGGTGACGAGCCGACTTGCAAAGCCCACATGCAGAACGCCGAGAGCCACCAGCTTAGTTATAAGGGCCACCTGCGGAGCTACGAGGGCCACAACGAGAGACACTGGCAGAGCCACGAAGACTTCGCGCTGAGCTACGAAGACCACGGGCACAGCTACGAGACCTACGAGGGCCACCTGCTGAGATACGAGAGCCACAGCCAGAGCTACGCGGATTACAGGACGACCTACCAGAGGCTCTTGCGGAGCGACTTGGGGCGGCGAGCTCAATTTCAAGGACCAGAGACATAACTCCGACACCCACCAGCTGAGCTACGAGGGCATCAGCCAGAGCTACGAGCGCCACAACTTCAGCTATGCGAGCCGCAGGCGTAACTACCTCAACTGCGAGGGCAACCAGCTGAGCTACGACACGATGGCCACCAGCTGCGTGCCATGACGATCAGAACCGCCAGTTCCCTGACGGATGGGTGAAAACGAAAGACAAATCCAGCAAAACGTATTATTACCACAGGGTCACGCAGCAGACGCAGTGGCCGCTCCCTCGACTGGCATGGCGAGGTGCAACAAACCTGGAGCTGCTTATTATGATTTTCTAGCATACGTACAGGATGTCTGGGAAGTATGACGCCTACCGCGCTACGGACAAGATACGCCGTGCACAACGTTACGCGCAATGTACGCCGTCTTCGGCGCCTATCAATACGTCCTTTGAGCGGCCTGGCCGCTCCTTCCGGCCTCCCCTCCTCTCTTCGGTGGGCCTCCTAATGTAGGCTTCTAGGAATGTAAGGTGGCTTCCCCCTCATACCCCTCTCGTCGGGCAATGCCCTCCAGTGTCGTCCGGGGGGCCGTTGGCGCCGGACAGACGGCCAGCACGGCGGCACGCGCGCGCGCGGGCGCGGACTGGGCGCCGTAAGAGCGGCTGCGAGAGAGAGAAAGGGAGGAGGAGGAGGAGGAGGAGGAGGAGGAGGAGGAGGAGGAGGAGGAGGAAAAGGTGGAGGAGGAGGAGGAGAAGAAAAGAGGAGAAGAAGAGGAGACGGAGGAAGAGGAGGAGGTGGAGGAGGAGGAGGAGGAGGCGAAGGAAACCCTCACAGGCGCGCGTGCGCACCGTGGACTCCCACCTGGCGGAGTTGCAGCGGAAGCTGGAGGAGCAGGCGCAGGCGGCCGAGCAGAAGCTCAATCCTCAGGAAGCGCTCACTGGGGGGGGGAAGAGGCGGATGAGGAGTAGGGGCAGGACCTGTGTAAATCCATGATGCCTTGAGGATGTTGCAATCAACCCTCCCTCCAAATTCGCAGTTTCATAGGTCCCAACAAGAGTCACTCTCATTGCGGGAAGTGGCCCGTCAGAAGAAAAGCGCTGGATAATCTCCAATCGTGCCAAAACGCAGTTTCTGCGACTTCAACGCCGCGGATCAACAATATTGTTGGGCGCTCACATTTTCCCCAATCAGTGCTTGCAGGTCCCAGCGGATATTGACAAATTTGGCGAAAGTTCTGGGCCGATTCCGGTAGGCGACAGGGTTCCCTGGTTCGCGGTTCCAGATTCCCGGTTCCAGGTTCCGGGCCGATTTCGGTGGGCGGCGGGGTTCTCAGCTTCCCAGGTTCTTTGTTCATTTTTTTAAACTATCGGTCTCACCATCGGTCTCATTACCCGATCGATTTCTGAACTATCTCGCAATTGATCCCACTATCGATCTCACAATCGGTCTCATTATAGATCGTACGAACGGTTTCGCGATCGATATCATTATCGATCTCATTGAATCGGCTTCATTGTCGGTCTCACGATCGTCCTTTGAATCGTCCCCACTAGCGATTCCATTATCGATCTCACAGTGGATTTCAATATCCATATCACTAGTTTTCAAAACATCCACTGATTGGGTTTTCTCTCTGGTGTAATATTTCTAAACTGTGCCAGAACACCCTACCTGGGATTTCAACACAGCGAATCAGTGTAGCTGTTGCGTCCCGACAACATTAAATCCTGGCAGAATACCACTTCAGAGTATTTGATCATACGATTCCTTGAAACTGCAGTGAACCTCTCAGACGAATGCGCGCGGCGGTGAGGCGAGAGACATCGAGAGCCACATTGTGAAATCGACCCGCCTTCCATCCGCGAAGCTGCTGCCATCTTTTAGGACGAATGTGCGCGGCCCTAAGGCGAGAGCCACATTTTGAAAACGGCCCGCCCTCCATCCGTGAAGTGGTTGCATAATTTTCAAGACGCGAGGCGCTAAGGCGAGAGCAACATTTTGAAAATGGCCCGCCTCCAATCGGTGAAACTGTTGCAAATTTCAAGTTCCAGGATCATCAATGGCGAGGAAGTCTCAGGCGAAACGTCTGGCCCGCTCTACCGACACGTCTGGGGGTGCGACAGGGAGAAGTTTTTCCCCAAACAGTGTTTGAATTTAGTTGGTATTCTTTCTGCTTTAAGGAAATGGGCCGGCTGGGCGGTCTGGCGGCTATGCCGTCGCCGTCGCCGCCCCGTCGCCGTGTCGACGGCGCCCGTCGTCTGGGCCGGGTGGGCGGTTTGGCAGCTATGTCGTCGCCGTCGCCGCCCCGTCTCCTTCTTCGTCGCCGCCCGTCGTTTGGGCAGGCTGGGCAGTCGGGCGGCTATGTCGTCACCGTCGCCACCCCGTCACCGCTGGATTGCACCAGATAGATTGCAAGAATTAGAGCCGGAGTGCAGTATCCCCAAACAGGGTTTTTAGACCCACTGCGGTTTCCAAGGTCGATTGCGTGCCCGTCCAGTGCGGGCTGGCATGGCATGTTAAAACATGCCCCCTCCTCCTCCACCACCTCCTCTTCATCCCGAACGGCATCTCGGAGCCCAGAGTTGCGAGGATGTCTCAGGCGTAACGGGCTGGACCACCTCGCGCGCGGCATTTCGGACCCCAGAGTTGCGACGATGTCTCGGGCGAAACGTGCTGCGAGGAAGTCTCAGGCGAAACGGGCCGGACCACCTCGAGCGCGGCGTCTCAGAGCTCCGAGTTGCGTGGGCCTCCTGGGGCCTCCTGGGGCCTCCTGGGGACCTCCTGGGGCTTCCTCCTGGGCCTCCTGTGGCCTCCTGGACCCCACCTGGGGCTTCCTGAAGCCTCTTGGGGCTCCCAGGGGGGATATCTAACCTGTGGCCGTTTGGGCCTCTCCAAATGGAGGGGGGGGGGGGCACAAGAGCAGGAAAAATCAACGAATCGGCACCGGATGTGTATTAACTTGACACGTTCTGATAAGGGGGTCTCCTGGGGCCTCCTGGGAGCCTCCTGGGAATCTTCTGCGGACCCCTGGGGCCTGTCCTGGGCGTCCTGCGGCTTCCTGAAGCTCTCTGGGGCCTCCTGGGGCTCCCAGGGAGGATATGTAACCATTGGTTTTCTGGGCCCCCAGGCTGGACCACCTCTTGCGAGGCATATGGGAGCTCAGAGTTGCGAGAATGTCGTGCGAAACAAGCCGGACCACCTTGCGCACGGCATCTCAGAGCTCCGAGTTGCGAGGATGTCTCAGGCGAGACGGGCCGGACCACCTCGCGCAGGGCATCTTAGAGCTCAGAGTTGAGAGGATGTCTCAGGCGAAACGGGCCGGACCACCTCTCGCGCGGCATCTCCGAGGTCAGAGTTTCGAGGATGTCTCAGGCGAAACGGCCCGGACCACCTCTCGCACGGCACCTCGGGGCTCAGAGTTTCGAGGATGTCTCAGGCGAAACGGCCCGGACCACCTCTCGCGCGGCGCCCCGGAGCGCAGCTTTTCGAGGATGTCTCAGGCGAAACGGCCAATCCCGGCCAACTCAGAAACGAGAATTGTGAAGATGTCTCAAGCGAAACCGCCCGGACCATCAAATTTTTGTGAGGATGTCTCTGCTCTGACTTCCCTCGGCCGGAGTTAGCTTCTATCACAACAGCACCCCGTTCAGCAAACTGTTTGGGGAAAAATCCTGTTTGGGGAACCCTGTCTCGGAGCCCAGAGTTGCGAGGATGTCCCAGGTCGCACCTGGTCGACGAGTCAGCTGTCGGGTCGGCACTGCGAGAGGCTCCACCGCCATGCTGTGAACTCAGAAGCAACTTTAAGAGGAAGCGGGGCAAGGCCGACGCGCCTATGAAAGCGCCCTTGCCCCCTCCTCCTCCTAAGGAGGGGTCGCTTGATGAAGGGCCGGGAGAGACAGTTACTAAGGAGGCTCCACCGGTGATTCAAGTACCGACACCGCCGCCGGCCAAGAAGCCGAACGTCGCAATGCTGGGGAAGGTGCCACAGGCGAAGGAAACGGTGCCTAGGAAAGCTCCGCCTCCGCCACAATTTCGCCCGGACGCGAATGCAATGAATCTTCCGCCGGCGAAGATGCCGCGTGTCGAAGAGAACCCTGCGGCATCTCCATCGATGCAGCCACCGGCAAAGCCGGGAGGCATGGGCACGGCTGGCAGTCCGCCTTGGAAACCAAGTATACGTGATCCTCCAGCCAATTTGACCCAATTCATTGGGCCCAAGGTCGCAGACCCTCAGCCACTGGATCAGAGTCATCAGAAGGCAGAGCCTCGAGCCAAAGCTGCACCTAAATGGGCGATGCGCAGGGGAGACCCACAGCATGCCGAAGGCAGTGCTGCAGGGGGCCCACCCGCAAAGGCGCAGAACCCTGTTGAACATGCAACGGCGGCCGAGGCAAAAGCAACACCCGCCGAGGAAGTGGCTCCTGCCCGAGATGGAGGCGACGGTGCATTGGACATCCCTGGAGCAAGCCCCCCTACTCAGTCGGACGGGGATGATTCATCTGAGGACTCGCCGATGTTAGTCGGAACCGATGATATAACTAATGTCATCATAGCCATAACACATGTCTCAAATATGCACTTCTCGCGTTTCAGAGCACGCAAAGTATTGGAAAAAGAAAACAGTTCTTTCACAGGTGGCGTGACCTCAGATCAAGAGCGCAAGAGATTGGACAGCCGGAGACCGAAGAGCGTATAGGGCTCAGATATGAAGCTGTCTCACAGATTGAGGCTGCGAAATTTGTCTATTTGAGATACGAGGTGCGGAACACGCATGGACCAGGTACCTACTCGCTTGCATGGACTAAGTTTGCAGATGCTGTTGTCGACCAGATCCTTAAAGTGGATCCAAAGTTCGCCCGTGCTCCTATGGTGCCTGAAAGGCGCAAGAGGTCTAAGCCTAAGGCAGCAGGGGAACCTGGTGCGAGTGGGAGCAGACTTCCGACTCCTCCTGCCCCCCCGTCCGGCGCAGCCGTGACGGCGAACCTTCCGACTCCTCCGCCTGGCCCAGCCAGAGCGGAGTCTGCTGACCAGCCTGAGGCGCGCCAAGAACAGTCGTCCCCCACGGTAGATCCGTCGGAGGAAGGGACGACATATGTTGCCAAGGCGTCACCAACAACAGCCGCTTTGAGCAGACAACAAGAAGCAGACATTCCCCTTGCCAGACAGAACCCGGATGCCTCAGGCACTCCGGGGCCCTTGGGAGCAGACGCTGAACCTGAGGACATTAGCGCCTTTCCATGCGATGGGGACCCCGAGCCCGTCGATTCTATGGAAGACGAGACCCACCCTTTTGGCCCAGCATCTGAAAATATATTCTGCAGAGTGAGTCTGCCGCCTGCTCCCGACAGGAGACAGCGTGAGCCCATGCATACAAATCCCCGTGATGGAGATCAAGAGGTTATTGTTGGGCATGCCGTCTTGTTCAAAGGCAGACAACTGTATGTTTCAAGGGGCGAATCATTCAGAGAACACCTGGTCCGATGAAGCAGAAAGTCCGCGACGCCCACGTGACTGGCCCCGTCCCGCCGCGCATCGAAGCCATCCGCAATCAGACAGGTAATACGCTCCGATGTATTGCAGAGTTTGCGGAAGACCCGATCTTCGCGTTGTTGAGCAGCCTCGGCCAAGCTGACGGCACGTTTGATCAGGAAAAGGAGTTTCTCCAAGCTGAGTTTCATTCCGAAGATGTCCCAGAAGGATTCACTCCGAAGTCCTTTGAGTGCCTGATACCGCTGGTAGTTGGAATCGACGACGACCAGAATCCAGCTGCCTTAGGCAGTGTGGAAGCTTGGGGCCCCCAGAGCTGCCGAGCGGACATGTTTGCTGAGCGCATAGGCAAATGCGCTGTATACCTCGCGAGGCATTGCTCGGACTATGCTAGATCGTCGGGTGGCTGGGTCTACTTTGGAGACCTGGTGCAGAAGATTGCAGAGGACGGCTTTACTTTCCAGTCATATGCTCTTGCCGCACACGGCTTAGCCGCGTTGCCGCCGGAGACAGTGGAAGTTTTGGGAATACCCCCTAAAGATAGTAACGAGATTGTTGGAACAAGTGTTCACAAAATGTGGACACAGTACAAGGCGTGTCCATCACAAGAAAGAGAAAGGAGCGAAATTGCTATACCCATTTTCTATAGGGCATGTCAGGGACATTCCACGTTCGTTGCCTCCATTGAAAGAATGTGCGTCCCATGTGACCCTGGCCAAGTCAGGTGTCACGGATCCCTTCTCCATTTCACAGACATGCAGACGTTCTTGGAGTCCACGGATGGGAGGGTTACGCTTCCCGAGGAGAGACTCAGGGCTTTGCCTAGAAGCAGATTACGATTTGCTGAGGCTGCTTCCGACTAAAAGAAGCCCAACAATGCCTGATGCGACACACATTCCTTCGTGGTTCAGCCAGCGGAGGTACGGGGAAGCTCCCCCCCAAGGACTTTTGTGTCCATGGGACGTGAGGCACAAGAAGGAGAGCTGCCAACAGTGGGGACATGGCCCGCAGACGACACCGTCCATCTGTGGGAAAAAGCCCCCCAACCACAGAGAATCCTGGGAGCTCATTCTTGTTTTCACGGGCCGAGTGCTCACCCGTTTCTCGCACAGGATTTGCCCAGACGGGGCCCTAGTGTCTCGAGAGGTGCCGAGGTTCAGTTCACCGATATCGACAAGGCCGTCACCCTCGTTAGAGTTGGACCTGAAGATGCCTCACTAGCACATCAAATGTTCTGGTCCGTCCTCTTCAATCGCGAGTGGGCCTCGTACGAAGTGACCTTTGACAACGAGTCAATAATTGCTTGGATTCACACAGACGAGACTGTCGTTGGTTCAGAATCGCAGGCCACAGCTGTCACCCGGAATACAGGAACGAGTTCTATCTGTCCCTTGGGGGGATGATGGAAGATTCCTATGCTTTCGACTTCACTGGGTGCGCACGGGCTTCGAACACTGTCCAGTTTGCAGCTGTCGAATCAAAGGCAAACACAGAGTCACACACGACTATATGGCTCAGACGTGGAACCGGAGGATAATCCCGCGATCCCTTCAGGCAAATGGAATTAGATTACATGTGAATGATCACTACAATCTCCCCAACAATCGTCCCGAATGGATCAAAGTGCGTGGGTTGAGACAACAGAGAGGTTCTGCGATCGTGATGAAGAATATCAGCAGTAACCAACAGCAGGAGCGAAAGTGGGCGAATGGGGATTTTGTTCGCATGGCTGCAACAGGCCAGATCTTTGGGAGCAGTCAGCCAGGCAATTTCCCTGCTTGGGTCCCAACGGACGCCGCGGCTCAGCCGCCGGCGCGCCATGGCCCTTTCTTCCAGTATTTGAAGCCCTTGGTCCGAAGGTTCATTGAATGGCTTGCGTTCTCAGCCTCGAGAGCGAGAAGGCAGGCCCCTGTGATCCAGACCTGGTGGCCATTGCAATGGGAGACAAATATTGACCAATACGCTCGCCCAATATCTTGCCTGGCTCTGGCAGCCTTCGACTGGCCAGACCAACAGGACGACATAGTCGAACCTGTGCTGGGTTGGGAGAGATGGCATCGTCAGATGACAAGACAAAGTGTCTTTGTCCCGACGATTCAGGCAATTGATGACGCGGTAACCATGGGAACACCATGGTTGCCGGTACAGCAAGAAGACGCCACTGACGACGCAGGGCAAAACCCTCGCGCAGGGCAAAACCTTCGCGGACGCATACCAGTTGCCTGGGGGAACAGTCTCGAGGCGAGGCCAAATCGCAGTTCTCAGTCCGTCGCCAGACGGATCAATGAGTGTCGCGATCATCGCCTCATAGTACCAGTGTTGCAACCCGCCACCGGCGCAGCCGCGATGGCAGGCGTGCAATCACAGGTTGGACTCGACTTCTCGGCAATCAGCGGGCCGAAGGCCGCGCTGATAACCGGAGGGGTGATCAACGTTGATCAGCCTGACGGTTATACATATAACCATTGCGAGGACAGCTCGATAAATATATCTTTGCACGGGTTAGAGGCTAGGGCGATCGCCGCACAATATGTTATCGAATGCACAGGCATACGCCCAAACCCAAATGATCCCGGTAGATTGCAACTGACAGGGGAAGTGGAACACGAGGTCCCACCGATTGTGACGAACATAATTGAAGGGAACTGGATGGCCCCCGTACAACAGATGCAACTTGGTCTTCGCATCATAAGAATATTTGCTATCGTTCGCGAGACCATGAGCTCCTTCATTTCAGATGGACATTTTGTCGGTTACCCGTGGCGAATTATTCGTCCCGATAGAGAGGACACAGACCCAATTTATTTGAAGCGACGGAGAGATGAATATGCTCTTGATTGTCGCATTCGCGCCGCCGCCCAGACGGACGACATCATAGAAGAGTGGGTCCGTAATTTGGGTAGGCAGGTGCAAACCGACGTTCGTCTTGAGGGCGCATTATTACAAGAGGCCATTTCTTGGCTTCAGAACAGATACACAGATCCTGGGACAGAGCTCCAGGATAAGGACGCAGGGCCATTCCGCACTGCATGCGGAAGATTCGGCATCCCAGTAGCTACAGCTGCTAGGAGTTTGTTGAAGCTCATGCGAGATCGAGAGCAGAATGTCCATGAGAACAGAGATGCCAGTCCGCACCATGGCAGCGAAGCTGACCCCATGGGGCCAATAAGAGCACAGGATGCGGTGAAAGCCAGGCCGCAGCCACCACCTCCACCACGCAGACCCAACGTCTCAGACGCTCGGGCTGCCGATGAAATTACCGAATCCCTACGCTCTGTCGCCGGCACAGCTGCGACGACAAGAGAGGAGTACTCATGGCATTCTGACGCATGGGATTGGTCGAGGCCCCGGCGCGCGCGCGATGGAGCCATGGATGTCGGCCGCGGCGCTGCAGGCTACGACCCGCTCTTGTCCTACCCGCACTACGTGAATAACGGGCAGGTCGGGCACTGCGTTCACCGAGACCGGATCACGTGGTTGTCCGACGAGGTCTGGTGGACGCAGGTTTGGCATGCACGGTCTACGTTTGAGCATGGCGTTCACTTCCCGCCGAAGGGGAAGGCGTCCAAGAACAAGGAGAATAACTACAGTGCAGCAGACTACACTAATAGTGGAAAGGGACGGTCTCGCTCGCCTCGTGGCGGAGACGGACAGACTGGAGGCTCGGCGCCGTCGAACCCGACGCCTCCGGCGCCACCAACGGGAGAGGAGAACCCGCGGGAGGAGCTGGGCTGAGATCCGCCCGCGTGACTTAGTCGCGGCAGACGCATGCAAGGAAGTTCTCGTCCGCACGCCGAACGCGTGTCGGACGGGCAAGCGACTCTACTGGTCGGCTAAGCCGAACCAGCGGAGAGAATTTATTTATATTATGGTGGGAGTCGTCGGGCCTCTTCGGCCCTTGGCCCCCTGGCAGCCACCGCTGAGCCGTGCAATTATTTTGCGGTTGGCTCCGGTGGTTGTGTATATGTATAGGCCAGGGGTGCTGTGGCCGGATGGGCTCTACGAGGCCCGCCGCGGGGGAGTAAATATGCTCCTCTCCGCCTCATATTAATATCGCTTGTTATCACACTTGCATGCTGTGCGCTGCATGACTTGAACTTATACTGCATACTGCAGCTGTTTGTTTGCTTGCAGGAGGTAAAAGGTGCGAGCTGGCCCGCTCGCGTGCGCCGCGGGGTCGCCCCCGCGTCGTCGTCGTGTCGTCGGCCGGCCGGCCACCTCACTTACCATTCTTGATATTGTAAACTTGCTTACCGGTTATTTATCTTATCGATGTCTCATCCCGTACCCTCTCTCCCTGAGCACAGTGAACATGAGATCTTAATTCCTTTGACATCTTACCCCGATTCTCAAAGGAAATCCTGGAGGAGGAGAAGGGAGGAGAAGGGAGAGGAGGGAGAGGAGGAGGAGGAGGAGGAGGAGGAGGAAGTGGAGGAGGAGGAGGAGGAAGAGGATAAAGAGGAGGAGGAGGAAGAGGATGATGATGAGGAAAAGGAGGGGGAGGATCAGGAGGACGAGGAGGCACATCTGGAGGGGTGACAGAAAAGTTGCCACAGGGATACCTGGCTTGTGACAGCCACGCGTTCGTAGCGACGTTGCTGTTTGATCCTTCGATGGATCCTTCGATGTTGGTTCTTGCTATCATTGAGCCGCAGATGCCCCGAAGTGTCTTACTGTTCGCTCGACGATAGGGAACGTGAGCATGAGCTGGTTTTAGACGACGAGGAGGATCAGGGGTGCCGCCGACTGGGCCAGGAGGCCCAGCGCTACCGCACCATGAGCTGGGAGGCCCGCCGCGGCGGCCCGGGCCCCCCTCCTCTGCCCCCCGCTCCCTCCCTGTCGGGGGCTGCCGAAGGTGGAGGGGGGAGCCCAGACGGGAGGCATTTGGTCGTGTTGGGCCTCTGGGGGCCCTCGGCCCCGAGACCGTCAGGAAGTGGCTCAGGAGGACGAGCCGGTCCCGAAGAAGGCGTCGGGACTTCTGGGGGGCCCCTGGCCCACGGTGCCCCCGCACTTGTCTCTCCTTTCCTCCACCACTTCCTCATCCTCCATTATCCATTTTCTCCTCCCTCCTCCCTTCCCCTCCTGCTCCTCCTCCTCCTTCCTCCCGCGTCCTCCCCAGGCTCCTCCTCCCTCCTCCCGCGTCCTCCTCCTCCCCCCTCCTGCTCCTCCTCCTGCGTCCTCCCCGGGCCACCCCTTCCGCCTCGAGGAACGGGTACGGACAGAAAGCATACGAAGGCTGACAACATGTCCTGTTGATGCTGAACAGGGCTCGCTGTCCGCGCCGCCGCGGGCACTGTCCGTTTGAGACAGAAGGCCGCCTGCCCAACAGCGGTCGCTCTCGGTTTGAGACAACATTTGTTGTTTTGCATCGTGCCCATGTTGTCCGTGCCCATGTCGGGCGTCCAGACTGGAAATTCTCGGCGGGCGCGGGCCGTGCACGCCGACGCTCCCTCGGGGGACGCCGAAGTAGGGGTCAGCGGGGGGGCCAGACAGTCTCCCTCTCGATCCCTCCCGGCGGACCCGGGCCTGTGGGCCACTGGGGAGCCGACCTGCCCAAGATGCCCCCAGTTTTTCCCTTCATTATGGGCCCCCTGGGGCCCCCCCGGTTCTCGCGCGGGGGTGCTCTGGCGGCCGTAGGGGCCTCCAGGGCAATCCTGGGTGCCCCCTGGGCCAGGGACATTTCTGACAACATCCGACCCTGTGCCTGGGAGCCTGGGCTCGGGGTTCCCTTAGGTCCGGTCGGCTTCGCGTACAGTCAAGGTGCTGCCAGACGAAGCTCTAAGTCAGGAGCGAAGCCCCTTTCCTCTTTCGCCAAAGAAGCGCCCAGGTGCACGAGGAGTGAGTTACAGGACAGCCATGGAAGAGCCCAAGGAACAGCGAACCCCTTCCGATCCCGTCTGGTGACCTGTCGCCACAGAGACCTTTGCTGCGGGCAATCAGGTCGGAAATAGGAACATATACATTACCAGTGGCGAGCTGTTTACATATACATTACCAGTTCGTTTCCCTATCAGGGGTCTCGCCAGCCCTGGCTGGCGCACTTGGATTGCGTGGCTTCGTTCTCCACCGCGGCCCCCGAAAGCCGCAACAGGCCACCCGTGCCCAGAGTCGCTCCTGCGTGTAGCCGGTCCAGCCAGGGGCAATGCCAGGAGGGGATATAAGCTTACGCGGGGGCTGGGCAGCAGGCTCGAGATTTGAGGGTTTTCGGACGAATAATCTGAATAAGAAGAATAAGAATACGCATAATAATAAGCAGAATAAGAATAAGACGAATAATTATAATCCTAATATCACAACTACAAATAATAATCATATTAATAATGATAATAATAAGAATATTATTACTAAGAATCATTATACGAATAATAGCAATCCAAATGATAATACTAATGATAATAATATTAATACTAATAGTAATACGAATACTAATACTAATACTACTACTGATACTAATACTAATACTAATACTAATACTAATACTAATACTAATACTAACACTCATAATAATACTAATACTAATACTAATACGAATACGAATGCGAATGCGAAAACGAATACTAATACTAATACTAGTACTGTTAATATTAATAATAATAGTAATGCTAATACGAATAGTAATAATACTAGTAATAATAATAATCATCATAGTAATAATAATGTAATCATAATAATATTAGTAATAATAATAAAAACAAAAATAATAATAGTAATACTAATACTACTACTAATAATAATAAGACTTATAATAATACTACTAATAATAATACTAATAATAATATTAACAATAATGATAATATCAATAATACTATTCATAATAATAATAGGAGTATCAATAAGAATAATAACAATAATAATGATTATAATACGTTGGCTCAAGGTGGCTCTCCAGCCTCGGGATGCCTTCCGGCGGCTGCGCCTCGTCGAGGGCGCTCCGGGAGTGCCCAGATCGTCCCGAGCGACCGCCGGAGAGCCGAGTTAGGAGGGGATAGGCCCAGGTCATCGACCCCCAATCTCGGGTCGGGCGAAAGGGGGGGATTGGGAAAGGGGGGGTTACGAAATCTGCTGCATGCAGCTTTTTTCGGCCCCACCGAGGGGCCCATTCCTCGATACATGGCCGCTCCTGGCGCCGGGAGGCGCCGGGAAATCAGCTACGTGAGCTGATTCTCAAACCCCCCCTTTGCTATCCCCCCCTTTCGCCCGACCCGACAATCGCCCACTCATCGCCAATAGGGGCCCATTAGTTCTGTTGCATCTTCGGGGGACCTCGCCTGTCCCTAAAATCGGTGTCTTTTTGGGGGCCCGAGGCGGGCTCGATGCGGACTCGACTCGGATTTGGCATGGATTCGACGCGGATTCGACACGGATTCGACACCGATCCGACGCGTCCGACATGGATTCGACACGCATTCGACGCGGACAGGGCCGCGACGGGACAGACAAGGTCCCCCGAGGATGCAACATAACATTGGCCTACCTCGCCCAGGAGCCTGCGGCCTCGCTATCGAGAGCATATCGCCGATCTATCGGCAATGTATCGCCGGTTCAAGCTCGATGCTTACCACCCCCGTAGCTGGTCCCCCTCGATCGTCCCCCCTCAGATCCAGGCGACGCCGAAACAAAAATCGTCACGGAGAGTGTTTGGTCGAGCTCGACCCCCAGTTTAGGCTTCTGGGGGTCGTCTTTCCTGCCCGAGGGCCGTCAGAGAACGGCTTGGGATGAAAGACCAGCCTCAGGAAATGAGTCGAGTTTGCTGGGGGCCCATGTCGCCAAAAATTTGCGGCGTCGGAGGAGAGGGTTCGAGGCTTGAGGTTTGCTGACGCTCTGGCTGGCTCTCAGAAAGGTTTTCCAGACTCGGGGCGCTTTCCAGCAACGGCGCCTCGCCGAGGGCGCTCTGGAGGTGTCCGAATCGTTCCGAAGGGTTGCCAGAGGCCCATGTGATGGCCCGGAAAACAGAACTCTCTGACGCCGTTGAAAAGAGCATTGCATCTCAACGGTCGACGTTTTTCAGCGTTGCTCGACACTTGGGGTCCTCTTGGTGGCTCCTCGTGGCCGTAGCTAGATTCTCCTTCAAAAGATCGCGGTCGGAACGCACCCCAGGAGATGCCCAGGGGTCGAACATCGGCCCCTGGGTCCGGAGCTCCTCGCGTCACCAGAAAGATTGTGAGGAACGGTGCAGGCCCAGTCGGCGCGGCGGCAACCCCAGCGCGTGCGTTCCAGATTGAACGCCGCCAGAAGCCCGGAGTCGACCGACATCGAATGATCTGCGCTGTTGGAAGGCCCAGACCGTTCTAGGTTTGAACGATCCACGCCACGTCACCAGCCAACGCACAAGTCATCCAAATGCGAAGTTGCCGTGATAGAGATGTCCCCTGTCCCCGACAGTTGTTAAACCTCATCCTCCGCTGTTTCTGTACAGCTACCGCCGCCTTTTCTGTCGACGCGCCATTCTGCGTGTCCGCCTGTAACAAAAAAATCAAGCTGGCACCTCGGGCCATTTCCGCGCGTGGAAACACTGGCGCCGACCGGGTCGTCGTCGTGTCATCGTTTCTTTTTCCCGTGCACACATCCCTCACATCTTAGCTTAACGGGCATTACCGCCATGCCGATACAACAGGTCCAGAGCGTCGATGAGACCAATAACACATCATCATCACACCCCACACTTGCAGAGGATCCCGTTCCTCCGGCAAATCATTATCTATCCACCGAAATGCCAATGATTGCATCCGATCCACGTATGGACACAAACGAAACTTCTGGCGGGCATGCACAATCTGCAAAAAAACCGAGGGCCTTGGAAGCAACATCGTATCAGACTTGGTCGCCAATCCCCCCCCCAAGAATATAATTTTAATATCATTCATTGATATTTTTGTTTGTACAAGCTCCAGGAGAAACCTAAACCTCGGCTTGGTTCAACCAACAGTTCAAGGCGATGACATCGAACGCGACCAATCCGCTGCCGGGGTTCTTCTGACGTAAACTCATAATGTTCGTCGATCGAAGAAGGAGAACGCGTACCATCACCTTCGTTAGAACACGCAAGAGACGTTGCAAGGGAAATCCCAGTACCGAAGCGACCTACGGTACCAGACGACATCAACATGGAACAGGAGTCCCCGATGACGGTTTCCAGTTTAGCTGGCAGCTTAGCAGAAGCGAATACTTGCCCCGTAATACGAGAAGTTGAAGGGGCGCCAAATGAACCCATGTCGCCACCTTCAAATGCCAGGCGTCAGGTATTTAGGTCCCAACTGACGTTGAAATGTCGTGGGAGGTCGACGAGCCGCAAGGGCTTTCGTGACTCATTGTCAGGTCGTGTCTCGATCTGAACAGGTTGCAGGGCGTAGGGAAGGCGATGCCAAGCCGCGGCAGAAAACCGATGCCCGGGGACGGTGGGAAAAGGCTGGTGGCCCGTGTTTTCGCCCGGTATGCGGGGCCTGTTCACACATATGTCCGCATTGCAACGCTGATTAGCTTGGCTCAGATTGCATTGAAGCGACGGAACATAATTGCCAACGCCTTGCCGCTGTCGCTCGGCAACAGAAAGGAGCCCAGAAACATGCCGCAATGGAAAAGGAGTTTTGTGATCAGAGGGTTACCTACATGGAAGAATTCTAATTGCAAAAGGACGAACCGATTTGTCAGATGCAAAATGGAAAGGCGAACTTGCGACTGCTTTCGCAACAGTCGCAGCTTTTCTGTCAGGCGACATGAGAGGCATTTCAGCTGTCTTCGATACATACAAGCTGACGTATCAAGAAAGAGATGGAACAATCTGCCAAGTT